AGGCTATATATGTTTTTAAATGTTGGATAATCTCCTCATAGATGAAGAAGACACTTGAGGCTATAAAAAGATGCTGAGAATACCATGGACATACGAGAAAACATGTCTGAAATGTTTTTAAAACATCTATGTCTCGCTTTATCGTATGTCTAGCTTAAGATCTATATCTATCTTATATATATATATATATATATATATATATATATAACATGTCTGAGAAAACATATTGACAACGAGGAAGTTTTAGAGAAATGGAAAGAAAAGGGATACTTATATTTAACATCAGGAGGAGACAGTTTAAATTACTAGGATGCATAATGAGGAAAGGGAGCTTGGAGGAGTTGACACTCACAGAGAAAAGCGGTGGGTAACCTAAATAACGAGCTTGTGTGAATTGTTGGCAGAACAGGAATTAGGAGAGATAGCGAACAGATAAAACTTACGAAGAGCCACAAAGGATAGGAAAGCAGTCTTTTCTTTGATTTTTAACGAAATTTTCCTGTCTCTTAATACTTTGCTTAGTTTCTGGAAGACATCTTTCGCTATTCCTGTGTGCCTTCGGATTTCAGCTTTGACCGGTTGATTCTGTTGTCCTCACTTAGTAGTTTTACAGCTTGGATCGTTTCTTTTGCTGACAGCCATACATTCAGTTTTCTCTATCTCTTACAGATTAACTAACTTCATGATTATCTATGAATTGTTAAATTTCGATATCCGCATTCTTTTGACGCCTCACCGTCTCCAAAAGCTAATATATATTCTCCTTTCTGTCTTTTACAAGATAACTGAATTTATTACTATCTACGAATTGACTTGAAGCATTAGCTTAATTTAGAGACAGGAGATGAAAGGAAATTATTTTTTTTTTTTATGTAGTTAATTACGTAAGTAATATTTGCTTGCTGAAAATCGTTATGTACAGGGTTGTCCGAAAGTCTTGTCACCCCTACGTTATATATTTTTCTATTTCAGATGGCTGACCCCTACAGATGGAAAGGGAGTGAGAGGGTGTCAAAACTTTCGGACCACCCTGTACATTGAGGTTGCGTGAATTGTTGGCAGAATAGGGATTAGGAGAGATAACGAACAAATAAAACTTACAAAGGACCATAAAGGATAGGAAATCAGTCTTTGTTATTTAATGAAATTATCTCTTAATACTTTACTTAGATTCTGGAAAACGTCTTTCGCTATTCCTGTGTGCCTTCGGATATTTACTTTGGCCGGTTGATTTCGTAGTCCCCACATTATAGTTTACAGCTTGGGTCATCTCTTTTGCGGATCGCCATACATTCAGTTTTCTTTTGCTGACATAATATATATTTTCTTTTCTGTCTTTTACAGATAAATGAATTTATTACTATCTACGAATTGACTTGAAGCATTATCTTAATTTAGAGACAGGAGATGGAAAGAAATAAATTTGTTTTTTTTATTATGTGGTTAATTAAGTAAGTAATATTTGCTTGCTGAAAATCGTTATGTACATCGCTGCCCGATGTCTTGTCACACCTACGTTATATAATTTTCTATTTAAGATGGCTGACTCGAGCTCCTCCTGATTCGAAGATAGATAGGAGCGGCAAGACTTTCGAACCACCCTGCACATTTTAAAAGTCTTTGCCGATGTATAATTTAAAAAATGAAAAAAAAAATCTGTTGATTGAGAGATTTGTTTTTTACGTCTTATCAACCCTTTTGGGGTTATTTAATTCCGATACATATATTTGGATTGTAATAATTCGTTTTATTTTATTTATTTATTTATTTTTTAGTTTGTATTTTTTGCGAGTGAATATTGCATTTAGAATTCCTTAAAAATAATAATTTCTCCATATACAATTCCACTATTTAACCCATAGCCGAACGGGGGTGTCAAGAGATTGCTTCATACCATTTCCAAGGATAAACGCGCGTAAGTAAATATAACGAACTCGAACGGAATTCGAACTTGGCTCTCCAATTTTAATTCTGAGCCGTTACACATTATCCTACCCGCACATCCACATTTTTACCGTGAATGAATGTCCCTATTTCATATATACACCACATTATTTCAACCGTTCGTCCTGGGTATGACGATAAACTACATTCTATAGCAAGACCTCTGATTGGGAGATTGGTGTTTTTGAGGTGCGTAGACCTAGCTCTTAATTGCTATTGTTCACAGATCTACCCTAACCAGGTGTGGTAGCACCTGTTAGGGTTCCGGCTATGGGCAAATAGTGACTCCTAAACAAAGGCAAAACACTATGAAAGTATAAAAATACATATTTATAGCTAAATGACCAACAATACATTTTATCTGTAGTTGAAGGCATGCAATTGCATTCAGAATATTTAGATTTCAGCATGAAATAACCCACATAGGTGTTGATATACCGCTAAACAAAACCAACCCAATCAACTAACATGAAAGAACTCTTTCATGACATTAATCTATATACAGTGTAACCCGGATATAAGAGAGTTGTCGGGACCGGAGAATAAGTCTCTTATATCCGGGTTTTTGGTCTATTCTATATACATTAACACAGGCTCTAATTTAGGACCAGAGAAAATCTCTCTTATATCCGGGTTTCTCTTATATTCGGGTTTCTCTTATATCTGGGTTACACTGTAATATCCTACAATTTCTTAAATCAAATTGTATTCCAAAATATAACTTCATATCCAAAATATAACAATCATATAACCGACTCTAGTAATTATGTTCATACAAACATGTATATGTACAAATGCAAAGTATTATCTACCATATACTCAGTTGCGAAAGCAGAATGACATATCATATTTTTATTGCTTCCAAGAAAATTAAATTCCGGCATAAAATGACCCATAAGGTGTTGATATACCGTTAAACAAGACAAGACAAACAAGGGAGCTCAACAGTTGGACAGCATTCGACTACGAATATTGTCTTAAAAATTGATTTTAAAAATAAATAAACGAGAAAAGAAATACAAATCAAAGTCAATAGAGTTTGTGTCTGTTAGATTCTTGTTGCTTCAAATATCTTATCTCAGGCGTAGCCTTGATGTCAACAGTAAGGACATAAATTATTAACAAAGAAATACCGACAGAAGAGGATATGGCCAGCAAATGGTATCTTCTTAAACAAAGACGGGAAGATTATATAAACAACATATTAAATCTTCTGACTGTTTCCTAGGACCGGTTGACGTATTTTCGAAAATCCTTTGCGAAGACAGAAGAGAGAATAATGAAATAGAAGCAGCACAAATCACAAGTCCACAGGAATACGAAAATAACTTAGCGAAATATAATGTCCAGACGCAACACTCAATTCTAGACCAGACATAAAGAGAACAAAGAAAAGAATCCCAGCAGACAGCGGATTGAACAACCATAGCAGACAACGTGGTAAAAACTGAACGACATTAAGTTAAATAAAAGGAAACCTAAAGTAAAAAAAAATCAAACCTAACTCAAATTGATAGATTGATTTGTTTTTAATATTTATCAACCATAAAATATCAACCATGTTTATAACCATAGCAGACAACGTGGTAAAAACGGAACGACATTAAGTTAAATAAAAGGAAACCTAAAGTAAAAAAAAAATCAAACCTAACTCAAATTGATAGATTGATTTGTTTTTAATATTTATCAACCATAAAATATCAACCATGTTTATAACCATAGCAGACAACGTGGTGGTAAAAACGGAACGACATTAAGTTAAATAAAAGGAAACCTAAAGTAAAAAAAAAAAATCAAACCTAACTCAAATTGATAGATTGATTTGTTTTTAATATTTATCAACCATAAAATATCAACCATGTTTATAACCATAGCAGACAACGTGGTAAAAACTGAACGACATTAAGTTAAATAAAAGGAAACCTAAAAAAAAAAAATCAAACCTAACTCAAATTGATAGATTGATTTGTTTTTAATATTTATCAACCATAAAATATCAACCATGTTTATAACCATAGCAGACAACGTGGTAAAAAACGGAACGACTTTAAGTTAAATAAAAGGAAACCTAAAGTAAAAAAAAAAAAATCAAACCTAACTCAAATTGATAGATTGATTTGTTTTTAATATTTATCAACCATAAAATATCAACCATGTTTATAACCATAGCAGACAACGTGGTAAAAACGGAACGACATTAAGTTAAATAAAAGGAAACCTAAAAAAAAAAAAAAAAATCAAACCTAACTCAAATTGATAGATTGATTTGTTTTTAATATTTATCAACCATAAAATATCAACCATGTTTATAACCATAGCAGAAACGTGGTAAAAACTGAACGACAGTAAGTTAAAGAAAAGTAAAATATCAAAAGAAAAAATATCAAAAGAAAAATAAATTGATTTGTTTTTTAAGTATTATCAACCTTTATACAGGTTATTTAAAGCCAGAAAATAATCTTAGATTGTAAGAATTATTTGGAGATAATAATAATTTACTGATATTTTTTCCTGTTAATTAACCCATATTTGATGTGGAAAACAGGCGATTCTTACTTTCCCCAAGGGTATTTCCGCGTAATGTTAAATAATAGTTTAACAGAGGAAGTGTATCTCGGCTCCGACTTTCCAAACGTTGACGGCCGGGATCAGATGTGAACCATAATAATGAAGTCGATTTTATTTAGCGTGGGATGGAGATAAGAGAAAAGGTTTCAGCGAGTTGTTTTTACCCATCAAGCGATGTAGACGTGTTCTCTTTCGTGTCCGAAACGGCTCCCCATTGAGGTGGGGGTCTCCCACAGGATAGTTAGATAATGTACATATCGTCAAAATTAATATAAAATAGTTAAGTTAAAATTCTCTGTGTTGAAGTCTTTCATTGCCGAACGGAAATGCTTGGCGATCGTCGGCCAAGAGAAAAAGCCGAGCTGAGATCATTCACTTCTGTCAACATGCTACAGTAAGTGAACAGAACGAACCCGACTGGGAATGGAATTCGATCGTCTCCCCCACCTATATCCAATTCAAGCTGTTATTCCACCCACACATCCAAGCTTACAGCATCTGGTATTCCGAGCCGGTCTCCCATCTAGATACTGCCCAATCTCAACGTTGCTTAACTTCGGTGATCGTACGAGAAACGGTGTTTCGACGTGATATATCCGTAGGTCAGTTATATAAAATAGCCATTTGCTGGTTGTGTAATGGCCTGCAAAGTCCACGACGATGAAAGCGATTACATTTTACGGACGAGAAAAAGGCGTCATGCTGTCTCCGAACATATTTCAGATTCTCTCATCGAATTCTGAATATTTCGAACAAGTTTTCATCGTTATGTTTTTTTTTTTTTTAATTATTCTTTAGTTAAAATATCAGATGATCTGTTAAATAAGACCCGATTCCGAATAAAGGAAAATAATTAAAAATTCATCTTTAATTAAAAAAAAAAAATTTATTAACACACTTTCCACCATAATTAATAATCTACTCCAAATGATTTTTCTTTTCTGTGTCAGGTCCTTTCCGGATGTTCGTGTTCATGGTTCTCCACAATTTCCTATCTGCTATTTACATTATTTATATCGTTTGGACTGTTTTCATCTTTATTGCCATATTCCCGACGTTTAGGGAGTTTTACGCACCGGCCTTTTTCAGGTGATTGGGATTTCGAACTGTACCCTTTATTCCGCCAACAAGGGTGGATTGTTCTAGTTCCACGTGCCATGCCTCTTCCGGATGTCTCGGTTATCTTCTTTTAACTCAACTATCCAAGTTTTTGTGCACCTCTGCCGTAGTCATTTATTGAACTCACAAGTTACTGGATCCATCCAACGTTAATATGGCGATAAAGATGACCGAACAATGTAAATAGTGTAAATAATTACAATTCCTATATGTTATTGTTGTACTTTACATACGTTACCATCCGTTCTTGTCCCTGTTCTGCTAACCGTTCATGCAAAACCGTTTACTCGTTCGTTCCGCTATTTCTGTTGCCTTTAATATTTTCTGTGATTATTAAATTATACTTCTTTTATGCACCAAGTCCCTTCATTGATATAGGCGTTTATGTCTCTCCACAACGTCCTATCTTAATTACCTTTTGACTATTTACCTTCCCTCTATTAGCCTCTTCTGACATCCATTCACTCAAAAGTGTTCAGTATCATATTCGCTTGTCTTGCCTTCCATATATACTGTAGTATATTATCCTTCTTTATGTAACAAGTCTTTTTAGGATGTAGGCGTTTATGTCTCTCCACAACGTCCTATCTTAATTACCTTTTGACTATTTACTATCCCCCTTTTAGCCTCTTCTGACATCCATTCGCTCAAAATTGTTCAGTATAATATTCGCTTCAGTTGCCTTCCTTCTGTAGCACATTATCCGTCTTTTGTATACCAAGTCTTTTTAGGATGTAGGCGTTTATGTCTCTCCACAACGTCCTATCTTTTGTTAATCTAACCCTATTTCGACTATTCAAAATCGTTAAGTATCTTACTGGCTGGTTCTCTTTCCTTCAATATATCTTCTGTTAAACTCTTCTTCATTACATAGGTGATCACGGCTCTCCACGGCGGCCTGTATTTTTTTTACTCAAAGTAACTTGGTTTAAAGACACATATATAAAAATTATTCTTATAATAGTAAAGGTTTGAAAAGGAAAAAAATGGGGAGAAAAAAGTAAAAGAAAAGAAAAATGAGAAGAAAAGAAAAAAGTAAATGAAAGAAAAAAGAAAAAAGGAGAAGAAAAAGAAAAAGAAAAATGAGAAGAAAAGAGAAGAAAAGAAAAAGAAGAAAAGAAAAAGAAGAAAAGAAGAAAAGACAAAAAAGAAAAAAGAAAAGAAAAAATGAGAATAAAAAGAAAAATGAGAAGAAAACAGAAGAAAAGTAAGAGAAGAAAAGAAAAAAGAAGAAAAGAAAAAAGAAAAGAAAAGAAGAAAAAAGACAAAGAAAAAAGAAAAGAAAAAATGAGGAGAAAGAAAAAAGAAAAACAAAAAAGAAGAAAAAGACAAAGAAAAGAAAAAATGAGAAGAAAAGAAGAAAAGAAAAGAAGAAAAAAGACAAAGAAGAAAAAAGAAAAGAAAAAATGAGAAGAAAAGAAAAAGAAAAAGAAAAGAAAAGAAAAGAAGAAAAAAACAAAGAAGAAAAAAGAAAAGAAAAAATGAAAAGAAAAGAAAAAAGAAAAAATGAGAAGAAGAAAAAAGAAGTAGAAGACAAATACGTGCATCAAGGACGGGTAAAAAAAATGAAAATAAATTTTTAAACAGTACTCTTTATGCTTATTTTCGCTTTAATTTTATACAAAAACTATAAAAATGATATTTTAACTCTTTTAAAATAATTATGAAACGAAATAAAACAAGTGTCATACTCTTAAATTTAATATTTGTTTATCCGTTTCACAGTAATCAGTTTCAAGCTTTATTTGCAGGCAAATACTCCAGAAAATGACGTCGTCTCAAGAATTGTAGAGTTGCCAATGAGTCAATTAGGCTCGAATCGTAAATGAGTGATGTCCATGCAGTTTAAATCATCAATTAATGATATCCTCTGAGTTCCAATGATGCATCAATTGATGATGCATGCTGTTTACTTTAAACCGACTAACCAATGCATAAAATACATGCAAAGTCAAAAAGATTGTATAAGTGGCCGATGAGTGATCTTCACGAACACCAACACCCACAAAAAACAAAATAAATAAACACAAACTCCAAAAATTAATTTTCGAGACAACAATCTTAAAACCATATTAAGAGTAAGAAAAATCCACATTCGACAGTTTTGAACTTCAACCAAAGGGATTTTTAACTTATTTATTTTATTAAACACGTCGACATATACATTTCTAACTAGGCAGTGGGGTTGCTCTGTCACCCCACTGGGAAGCAAGTTCACCGAGACACAAAGTAACCACGTCGGATCTCTTCGATGTGTCAAACTTAACTCCCCGAAATAACTTTTTATCTCTATAATTGTTATACCGGAACATACCTATTCTATTGTTAATAGACTCTCCCACATATAATAAGTAGTCGCAGTCGCAAGAGAGCTCAGTCAGTCGATGTCGATGTATCAACCACCACAACTAGATTGCTGCGTCATTAACTATTATATCAAGTTCCTAACGTTTTGTACGTCGAACCTTTTTAGGACCGACTTAGTGAAATACAAGCCTCCACTGTGAAACTACTCTATAACAATAACATTGGACTCGGCCAGTCAAAATTGATATCCCTATTTTGTCTACCATCTAACCTTAAGAGTCAACCTCAGAAAGTCAGCCAAATACACCGCCACTAAAAATAATAATTTGAAACTATTATTTAGCATTCATTACCTAACCATCTAAAATAATTCATTTTTAAATTTTATTTCAATTACATTATTTAACACTTACGAGTATTACGACCTCGAAAAGGTAGCACTTTTCGCGGAATATTTGCAGAGTCAATTAATGCAGACTCCTGAAGTGATAGGATGCTAGAGAAGTGAATTTCATAAGGTTATATAGGAAAGATAGCGGTGAAACCTAGACTTGAAGAGGTCAAGAATATAACGACCGGGAAAGCATCCTGTCGGGAGTCAGTTCCAAAAAGCAGCAGTTAATTCAGAAGAAACTGAATGGAACGTCTTACTATGGGAATACGATGGGAATAGAGATGATTCACTCTTGTGTACGTCGCATGGCGCGTCCCAGATGCAATGGTCTGTGTTGGCGGAACCGAGGACTGTAACTCGTCAAAACACTTTCAATGGAAATAACGATAGAGTAGCGACAAGCTTGCAACATACTAATGTTCACCCAGTACAAAGTTCAGGAGCCACTCAAGGTAGAGGGGTACTTTTTAATATTGTATGAACGTAAAAATGGGCAAGTAGTGAAATTCATTGGGCTATGCAGGAAATATTATGGTTCACCCGAAAGATCAAGATTTTAGAGATTGGAAAAACATCCTGCCAGGAGTCTGTTCCACAAAGCAGGAGTTCTTGGAAATAATATGTCCGAATGGAACACACTACTTACTACTGGAATACGAAGAGAATCTGGGTCCCAGTTATAAATTTCAAGGAATTATAACTTGTCAAAACACATGCCATGGAAATAGCGATAGAACAGCAAGAATCTGGCGACTTTTCAACTGTGAGAAATTCTACCAATACAGGCAAGTTAAGACTGTGTAGCTTCAATATAGATATGGAATCGGTACTTCATGATGTTTTTCTTGTTGCCGATAAAACAATTTGGATATTTTCTGTTAAATCACCCCAAATAATGCAAAGTTACTTACCGCAAATAGTAATTCACCCTAGAAATTATATAAATTTTAAATCAAAGTTTTTTTTTTGCTATTTTTTAAATTTTTGGCACTCTTTTGAAATTATAAATTTTAAATTAAAATTTCTTTAGTTTGCCTCGCCACAACCCCAGCCCTCAGAATGATAAATTACCAAAAATCAAAAGAATTCTTAACATTTCGTAAGAGCGGACAATATTGGAGGCACTTACAAAGAATTTTTACAGTTAAAAAAAAAAATCTTTTTTTATCACGAACGTAGTCTTCACACTTAGAAATGTGCATCACATTTGGGGCGATCGCAAAGGTCAACCCAACCAGAGCAAAATGGCAGAGCCTCGCTCTGGGACAATTTGGTGTGGATTTTAGTAAATGTAAATTCTTTTTTGTTTTGGGAGTGGAGTTAACAGAAAAAAAATGCAATAATTGTTAAAATGTTATGTTTTAGAAAATAAACGGAGAAGAACAAATCACAACGTAAATTTTATATGTAACATTGTCTCTTATAACGGATTGACTTTCTATTTAAAGAAACACAACCAGACGCCAGGTGACATATGAATAAATAAAAAAAAACAAAGTAACGTGTAGAACTGGAACTAAAAAGAAATATCGGCTTACACGAATTTAAGACTTTAGATAAATGTTCGTGCTTTTCGTAAATTATGAATACGGCAGACGATAAAACGCACAATCAAGTGAATAATATATTTCCTTCCATTTTTTTTTTCGCTTTGTTTTAACGTTAGTGCTTCATTTTTTTTAATTTTTTATTTACTTTTTTTTTTTTTTGCTATTATAGCATAAAAATCAATTCACTTCGCCTGAAGATGACTTCGAAAATATCAAAAGCCCCGGTTGCC